TGCGATGCTCACCGGCTAAATTTTGCTGGCAGTACAATATTTTAATAAAGCTACCTGTCCCTCCAACGAATTTATGGACGTTGGCTAAATTTTTCGCCTATTTAACCTGGATTTTTACCTCTTTGGTTAGATTATGTGCTTCTTAACTCGTTGTTTCGCATATTTCTACACAGACCATACCTTCTCATTCTTTCCTTGTGGTGTTACCACTTCGTCTTCTGATATGGCGCAATATTCTGGTGGTTAACAGCCCTCTTCACACTCACTGTCAAGCTCGGTGTTTCTAAATTATAGTTCGGCTGTTATTCCGTGCCGCTATTTTAGGAATATTACCACGTAGGCAAAATGCGTTGTCCGCCATCAGTATCTGTCTCGGAATTGCGTGAAGCCTGTGATTACTTATTAATACCGTTCAATGCCCAAACAATACAGTGCCACAACCTTCGTTCTTTTCTGCATGAATTGAGCAACGAAGGTGCACGACAGCAGTTTACTGCGTTCCTGGAAGAAATCATCCTTCCACAAATGATTCTTAGCACTGAGGTAAGCCATCTCGTTTCGTTTGAATCCACATTAAAACATTAAATATGGGAATTTTTAAAAAAATAAACATGGCGAAAGTCTTGTTTTGACACCAAAAGATCGTGATGCTTTATGCTGGAATATTTTTAGTAGTTCGCTTACTTATTTGGTAGCGTGAAGGTTGGCATTTAGAAACAATTGCTTACCAAAGTAGCAAAGTAATCCTGAAATCGGACTTTTTTGCAAACTTTTAAAGAGAGTTGGGTTTGTGAAGTGAGCCGATGTACTGCAGCGTTTTGCGATAAAGTGCGATACAGTGCACCGAGTAGGACTTTGAATAAAACAAGTAGACGAGCTTAACAGAGGATTAAACACAGGTTGGATCTGTTCGAATCACATAACTGGACATTCATTTTTTTTTTTTTGTCAGCATGGAGAACGTGAGTGCCACATAGTAGTACTTCTGGATGATGATGTAGTCGACTGGGACGAAGTTTATCCACCGCAAATGGGCGAGGATTTAACGCAAGTTGTTTATAGCACGCATTTATATCGTTTCTTTAAATATGCCGAAAATCGTGATGTCGCAAAGCAAGTAAGTCTTAACAGCTTTTGCTATGTGATTGCATTTAATAAATAAAGTTGCAATTCTCATTGACCTTTTATTTCTATAATTTTAGTTCTTAATTGATTCTTGTTTTTTGACTTATAGCGACATCTTTTGTAGGTTTTGAAAGAGCGTGGGCTGAAGAAGATCCGTCTTGGCATGGAAGGATATCCCACGCACAAAGAGAAAGTAAAGCGGCGTCTGAATAAAGCTGAAGGTAAATGCATCTGATAGAGGCGAAGTAATTTGTACTGAATGGGTGGAGGAAACATTGGAGGTAATAGTGACTCTAGCAACCGCTCCACACGAAGGAGCTCGAAATGCTAGCAACCAATCGTTTATTTGGATAAGATAATGCATAAGAACTCAGATCCAATATGAAAAGACTGGCCTAGATTAGGGGGAGAGGAATGGTATTTATCAGTAGTTGTCCACACTTGCCCTTTAAGTAGAACATTTCAAGTTCTGCTGTCTGCATCGCTGCTTTCGTAGTGAAGGGTGAGGGTTCGACTGTTCGAGTGAGCCAACCGGTCCCTCTACGATTGGTTTATACGTTTTGACAATAAAATTGGTAATAGCTGTGCAACAGCCATCAGCTTATTTCCAAACAGCTTTCGAAAGAAGGGCTCATCGACAGCCTTATTAATGCGTCGGTGCTGTGATTAGGGCTACTTGCGAGTGCGTTTGCTTTTCGTAGGGAAGGAATACTAAGAAAGTTTTGGCAAGGAGTACTAAAAACGATATCTTATCTTGTCCAAAGAAAGCAGAAAAAAGAAATGATGAAATTTTTTATCGGCTTTATTTACAAAGTGAAGTGCAAACAGTTATAAGAAGCTAAGCTGAAATCTTTATGTTTTTTCAGTTATTTATAACTACGTCCAACGTCCGTTTGTTCACTGCTCATGGGAGAAAGAAGAAGCGCGTTCACGTCATGTTGATTTTGCGTGTCCTATCGTGAAAAGCAAATCAAATCCAAGTTTGGCTAGCGCTGCAAGCGATCCTTTACCACAGGTTTGGAAGAGAGAAGGAACTGAACTTACAGAGAAGCACTGAAAAAGAAGCTTTTTTATTTTTCCCCTGTTTTGCTGTTGTTGGTGATTGTGATTGGTACCTTTTCGATCAGCTCGGAATTTCATGTTTTTAGTTATTATTAATGATTTTGCACAGTTGTTTAAAAACAAAGCGCACCTCTTCAGCTGGATATGGCAGCCGCGGCATCGGCGTCGAATTCCATCGCTGGAGGTGGTGGAAATGGCCCATATAATTTACCGCTGGTTCATCTTTCGATGCTTCGCGGCGCTGGCGCAGCACATTTTGCACAGCTGTTAGCTAGCCAGGTGAAGGCAATGCGTTACCTAAGTGCATTTTCGCGTAAATCCGTAGATATCTGGCGAAATTGTGTGTGCTTTTTGTGTTCATACGGATGATACAGCATAGAAACTGTTTAAAATAGGAAGGCGACATCTTGAGAATACTTATCCTGATTTTACACTGTGAATGATTTTCAAGATTTCCGTGCTTTCGGAAGAAAAAAAAAA